TTTCTTTCTTTCTTTTTTTGAGATGGAGTCTTGCTCTGTTGCCCAGGCTGGAGTGCAATGGCATGATCTTGGCTCACTGCAACCTCCACCTCCCAGGTTCAAGTGATTCTCCTGCCTCAGCCTCTCGAGTAGCTGGTGCCCGCCACCACACCCGGCTAAATTTTTATTTTTACTTTTAGTAGAGATGGGGTTTCACCATGTTGGTCAGGTTTGTCTCAAACTCCTGACCTCAGGTGATCCACCCACCTTGGCCTCCCAAAGTGCTGGAGTTACAGGCATGAGCCACTGCGCCCAACCAAATTTTCTGTGTTTCATAAAATATCAGAGTTCAGAGGATCTTGGAGGTCATCTTGTCCAGTCTCCTCCCTAGAATGCCTCATGAACTTCAGAGAATTATGGAAGGGCTTACTTACCTAAGGACAAATGTTCAATAGTACTGTTTCAGCCCACAAACAAATGATGCTCTTCGTGTGCATGTATGTGTGTGTGTGTGTGTGTGTGTGTGTGTGTGCGCGCGTGTGTGTGTTTGTGTGAGTGAAATCTGATTAATTCTTTGAGGGTGCAGTAGATAGGGCACTTGCTGAGGAATTAGGATGTTTTGGATTTGAGTCCACATTCCACCATGAACACCTGGAGAAGCCCTTTCCCATTTCTGAGACTCAATTTCCCAATCTTACTTACCTAAAGACAAATGTTCAATGGTACAGATACTTGTGATACTGTTTTGAGGGTAGCAAGGTATAGAGGTGCTACAGAGGAAGGTAGAAATAAGCCCAGGCAAATGGCCTTGACAGGAAAGCTTCAGTGAGAAGGTGAAACTTAAGCAATGTTTTGAAGGATAAATCAGTCTATTAGATTGGAAGAGAAGGGGAGAAGGGTATTCCAGGTAAGAAGAACAGCGTGTACAATGATACAGCCAGCAGTGGCATCTTCAGGGAACAGGAAAGTTGAAGGGGAGGGGAGTTAGGGTGAGACTGGAGAGCAGGTGGGGCATATACCAAGGGAGTTAGGGAGCCTGGCCTTTTGCTGAAGGCAGTGGGAAGCTAGTGAAGGTGATAAGCGGGAGAAATAAGATCTGACCTGGGTATTAGAAAGAGTGCTTCAGAAAGTAAGTGGACCTGGATTGTGAAGCTGACTGAAGTTGAGTTTGGAGACAGAAAAACCATCCAGGAGGCTACTATAATCTTTTCCCCCACTATTTATTTATTTCTCTCCCCTCTGTCTCTCATTTTTCCCCTCAAGTGACTGTTGTAATCTTCATGGTGAAAAGTAGAGAGTCTGTACCAGAGTGGTAGTGATAGGAATAGAGGGGAGGGGGCAGACAGGAAAAATGTTCAGGAGTTGGCTGAAAAGTGGGATGTAACAGCTTCACTGTAACAAAGCACAATCTGTTTTCAAGGATAGGTTCAAGGTCCCCCACTTCCTAATGGATTTCAGCCATCCTTTGTAATGAGCCCTTTGAGGCTAAATCTTGTGACTGCTAGCTTGAGGGCTCATTTCCCTGCCTGGGCTGGCTTTTACTCACACCATAATTCCTCCTGGTAGAAGGCAGGGAGAACATGCACAGACATGCCATCGCTTCACCCAGGACTGAACTCCACTTGTCCGGGGGGGGAGGGCGGTAAATGCCCAAATGCCCAACGGTATTATCAATAAATATTTATGAAATGCTCTGGAATCAGGAAAAGCGGGGCTTCAAGCCCCAAGACTTGAAGATTTTGGCCCGTTGAGGAGGCCAAAATCATGAACACAATCCAGCACTGTGTCCAGGAAGGTTTGGTCTGCATGACCTCACCTCTTCCGGGAGGACTTGCCTAGACTTCTCCTAGTTCTCTTAGCCCCGTGCTTCTTGCATGTCAGCCCTGCTCACACCGTGACTATTTACCTTATTTTCTTTTCTGTTTCCAGCCCACTAAACCATTATTGAATGATTGAATTATTGGACTGAATCTTGATACATACACCAAAAAGTAACACCCCAAACAGAGAATTGTTATTGCAAGAAATCTTCTTACATTAAGACTTAGCAACATGTAATTGTTGAGGTCAGGTGCCTACTTTGAAGACATCAGCCCAAAATGCAATTATTATGTTGAGTGAAGAAAAGTCAGAGAGATGTGCTGAAGGGCTGATTCTGCTCACTGGTTGAGGAGGGTTGGCTAGTGGGGTCCAAGGTTCTGAGGCTTATCCTCAGCTTACAGCACCTAGAAATCCAATGTTAGGGTACTCAGAACTGGGAAGGTTTAGACACTGACTTGTTCTATCCAAACTCAAAAGAGGCATATATATTAGCGAGATACCAATATTTCTTTTTCTTTCTTTTTTTCTTTTTCTTTTCTTTTCTTTCTTTTTTTTTTTTTTTTTTTTTTTTTTTGAGACAGTCTTGCTCTATTGCCCAGGCTGGAGTGCAGTGGCATGATCTCAGCTCACTGCAACCTCCACCTCCAGGATTCAAGCAATTCCTCTGCCTCAGTCTCCCAAGTAGCTGGGATTACAGGTGTGCACCACCTCACCTAGTTTTTCTATTTTTGGTAGAGATGGGGTTTCGCCATGTTGGCTACGCTGGTCTCGAACTCCTGACCTCAAGTGATCTGCCCGCCTTGGCCTCCCAAAGTGCTGGGATTACAGGCGTGAGCCACTGTACCCGGCAAGATACCAATATTTATCGAGCATCTGAGACTTAACATTTCTAAGACAAAACCTTTGTGTGCTCCTCCAGACTTATTCTATTCCCCGCTGGTGTTCTCTATCTTAGTAAATGGCCTAACCATTCATCTGGTTGTTTAGGTCAAAAATTAAAGAGTGGGCCGGGGTGGTGGCTCACGTCTGTAATCCTAGTGTTTTGGGAGACTGAAGTGGGAGGGATTTGAGACCAGCCTGAGCAATATAGTGAGAACTCGTCTCTACTGAAAATTAATTAATTAACTAAAAAATTAGCCAGGCATGGTAGCACATGCCTGTAGTCCCAGCTACCCGGCAGGCTAAGACAAGAGGACTGTGTGAACCCAGAAGCTTGAAGTTATAGTGACCTATGATCGTGCCACTGCACTTCAGCCTGTGCCACACAGAGACACCCTATCTCAGAAAAAAAAAAAATCATCTTTGATTCTTTTATTTCCCTCAACTTCTTTATTTAATCCATCAGCAAGTTTAATTGAGTGTACTTTCAAAACATAATCCTAAACGTGATTTTTTTACCTCCTATATTGCTACCCACCTAGTCCCAGCCACTATCATCTCTCACGTGGACTACTGCAGTAACTTGAATGGCCGCTGCTTCTGTTCCTGCTTCCCCTTGGCCTTTTCTCAGATACATTTCAGAATGACTTTTTTGAAATGTCAGTCAGATTGTATCATTCTGGAACTTTAAAAACCTCCACTGCCTTTCTATTAGATTTAAAATAAAACCCAACTTTCTTACCATGACCTACAAGAACTTCCATGATCTAGTCCCTGCCTACCTCTCTTATCTCCTGCTTGTTCATTATGTTCCAGTCACATTGGCTTTCTTGTTTCTCAGACACACAGACTTCAACCCCATCTCAAGGCATTTGCACTTGCTGTGATTTCTGCCTGGAATATTCTTCTCTTAGATCTTCACATGGTTTGCTCCTTCTCATCATTCAGGTTTCTGCTTAAATGTTTTCTTCTTAGAGGGATTTTCTCGTTTGCCCTATCAAATATTATTCCCCTGTATATGGTTGTACTCTATCCTTTTATGTAACTTACTTTTAAAAAATCAACTTTTTAAGATATAATGTACATGTAACAAAATGCACTCAATTAATGTGTATTATTCTTTGAATTTTGAAAAATGTAGGAGAGGCGTGGTGGCTCATGCCTGTAATCCTAGCACTCTGGGAAACGGAGGCAGGCAGATCCCCTGAGCTCAGGAGTTCAAGACGAGCCTGGGCAACATGGAAAAACCCTGCTTCTACAAAAAATACAAAAATTAACTGGGCATGGTGGCATGCACCTGTGGTTTCAGCTACTTGGGAGGCTGAGGTGAGAGAATCACTTGAGCCCGGGAGTTCAAGGCTGCAGTGAGTCGAGATTGTGCCACTGCACTCCAGCCTGGGTGACAGAAGGAGACTCTGCCTTAAAAGAAAAAAAATAAAAAAGAAAAGAAAAAGAAAAATGTATATACCTGTGTGACCACTGCCACAATCAATATATAGAACACTTCCATCACCCCAAAAAGTTCCCATGTGGGCCTTTGCATGCTTACTGTCTCTCTCTCTCTCCATTTCTCTCTCTCCTCACTGTTACATTAACTTCCTG